GATATGCTCGTTTAAAACTATTTTGATATGTGTTGCACGGATCTTCTGTTTAAGTGCGAGGAAATGAGATTAATAAAAAGGTACACACAAATGTTAAAAACGCCCTTTGGACGTAATTTAAAATCTGAAACATTTCAGATTTTGTCTTTTTATTTTTTATTTATTTATTTATTATTTTTCCATAGGCAGAGTGTCTTCCATTCTTTCACCAACCATCAGTTACACTCCTCTTCTGGGAATAACAGAAGCATAATTTAGTTACGCTAGAGAAAATGCTAATAACGGCAGTCTAACAAATAATCTTAGTATCCAATTCCGGCTTTGTAAAACATATTTTGCTCTTTAAAGAACAGAGATCTATATCTGCTCGCCATCGTTATCCATAAAGTTTTATTCAAAATCTATGCTACTTTTAGACTGATTTTCGCCTAATTTTAAATTTTACATGGGCATGTTTCTCTTCGAACTAATTTTAAAATGTTAAGCATTTTAAAAATACCAAAAAGAAAATTCGGTGGCGTATATCATTATTAATATTACAGTTAACGTGCCAAAAATAAATCTGCGTTACAACAAACTGTGCGTCAGAAGGGGCTTAAAATATGTGCCATTTGAAAGATGCTGATCTTTTCCGAATGTTTACTTACAATTGAGCAAAATTCTGAGATAACTAATATTAATATACCTGCTTCGGAGAAATCACGGAGAATCGCAGTTTGAAAATACAATAACATAGTTGGATACTGCAGGGTAACGTAGTTGGATACTACACAAAATGGTCTTCTTAAGCTGGCTAAATATTGTAAATGGCGCGTTTTTAACGTCAGCTAGCAAAATGGCTGAAGTCGGAATAATCTGTGACAGACCTTGCGATAAGACAACTGCCAAAAGTACTAATATTAAAACATTCAGAACCCCTGACTTAAATATTCTAACATATAATTTGGATTCTAGTTTGGACTAGGGAAAGAAGTTACAGTAAAGGCTTAAATCATAATTAATTGGTTAATTCACATAATATCCTGACACGTTGAATGTTTACTAGAATGTGCTTTTGATCACTTGCATGCCATCGTGTTTGAAATGATTTTACTATTGAAATATTGAAGCATTGAATAAATGTTTCACGATCATTTACATGTTGTAACATTTTAAGTGTTTCGCTATAGCTTTTCCGAAGTTTAATATAAAATTCAATTACACTTATACCATTTTTTTCGCAGAGGTATCTTTCTTATCCGCCACGATAAAATGTGGCACTTGCTTCTTCTTGCTGTGATTAAATATTAATGGTCATGGCTTACCAGCTGGATTTCCAAACGGGTAATTATACTACAAGGTTCACCCTTCCCATCCTTAGGCAGATAGCCCTAGTGTGCTTTGCCATAATTAAATACACCACACCACACCTTACCCTTCTCATCTAGAAATCTTTGAGCGCATGACGTCATTGGCTGATAGTCTGGTCCAAACAAGTACTGCCTTGGAGAATTGAATGTAATTGTCTCCTCGTTTCTCTCACTCCTGTAAGTGAAATGACGTCTTCAAACTCCAGCGCTGAGAAGAGCCTAATGTTGTCTGTCTACTGACTTTGGTTCCAGACACATCGAATCGCCTTCATAAAACTTCGCTGTAACTATGACAATGGTCTTAACGAAACTCAGGATGTCTATACCTCATTTTTTCAGTTAACCAGACTGGGGAAGATAACCGCTCTAGAAGCATGAGAGATATTGTTTTTGTCATGTTAGATTGACATCGTCCGATGCTGGACTGGTGGAAGGCACATATGTATAAAAAATATGAAGAGTGCTATTTATCACTGTTTGAATCAATGGGACAGTCTTAAAACTTTTCAATCAGCTAATTTTTGCTTTAATATTAATTAAGGCCTTTTTGCCTGAAAGTGGAGTTCCTCTTGCTATGAAACCTTTCATTAACTGATGTAGTAGGACGCGAAGGAAGAATCGTCATTACTTTATATTGGAATAATTTCTGTGCATTCCTCGGACTCGGAAAATTATTGATCAAATGACATCAAATAGCATATAAAAACCTAAAAATTATTGTATAGAAAAAACTAGAATATGTGTATACTGACTGTACAGCTTTCATAAAATTGAAATGACGTAGGTACAATGTTAGTTTCATTTAACCAGGATTGAGAAAGTGAATATAGCATCCAGCTGGACGCTTTATTCACCTAAGACATTAGAAAGCTAAAGAGGTATTGGTGGTAGCATGTTAGGTTGATTTCGTTAGGTACTGGCTTGGTAGAGGCTACTACAGTCAAAAGTCTTTTATCCGGACTCGTCGGGACTTCGGCGATTCCGGATTATCGATTTTTCCGGATTATAGATCATCAGTTCTAATCTCGTAAGATGGCATGCAGAAATTCTAAATAAAAAATATGAAACCGTAATTATAAATAAAGAACAATTATGATCTAAAGGGTATCAATTTACAAAAAAAAAAAAAAAAAAAAAAAAAAAAAAGGCTTAACATTTTTTTTACTTAAACATTCTTTCAATGTATTTGTTAAGTTGTTTCGTTTTATGTGATAATACCTATCTTAATTCTATAACAGACATATTCTTGTCATTACAAAGTTTCGTGTTCACGTCCGTTAATGCTGTGCGATAATACGACTAACTTGTCAATCGAAATTTTCGTTTTCACTAACTCTTGTCACCTTCTCAGTCTTTACCATTTTTTGCGGCATTTCATTTTTGTTTGTTGGAAATCGAAAATTACTTCGTTTTGTAGATCCTTTGGAAGTTCCAGTCGAAATTCTATTTGCATAATCGAAAGTTCAAGTTTATTTTATAAAATTGCTCTACAGTCTGAAAATAACAAGCGGATCCAATTCGAAGATTAAGGAACAACGCATCATTAAACATTAACGAAATAGATAATTAGATATTTTGCTTACACCGTCCGTTATACATTAAACGGCAGGCGAAAACGATTCTGCCTTGCGCAACGTAATGCGCAAAGTCAGGTCTTACGCGCACGCGTAAAACGCCTGTGCGATGTGCCAACGCGGCGCATGCGCAGAAAGTTTTTAGCTTTGAGGTCCGGATTATGGGTGTCCGAATTAACGACTTTTGACTGTATAGAATTATGCGTAAAGAAAAGATGAAAAGTGCCTTTAGACGAATTAAGTAGGCAGCAGGTTCACTAGCATCTACTCATTTTATATCTGTCTGCTTCCTTGTTGAAGATTATGTGTCCTGGTTGGTGTGAAACTTGAAATATGCCAATAGCTTTAAATTTCTCGGGAAATTTGCATTCTCCCTTGCAGCTGCGCAGTGCTGAATATGTTTAAAGTACAACGCTGTGTAGTCCCACAGCAGAAGCCAAGAATGTGTGTGTGAGAAGACTGTGTGTCTCCCGATGTCCTGTATCGATGTGGCCATTAGCGGTAATTCTCTTCAAGCATGGTGCGATGATTTGATATGTGTAATCATGACATACAAAAGTTCAACGCTGTGTAGTGCCACTGCAGAAGCCAAGAATGTGTGTGTGAGAAGACTGTGTGTCCTCTCTATGTCCTGGTTATCGATGTGGCCAGTAGCGGTAATTCTCTTCAGCGTGGTGCGATGATCTGATATATGTAATCCTAACATTAAAAAAAAAAAAAAAAAAAAAAAACTGTGGAAGATTCTAATGGAAATAAGAATCTAGCCCAGTGTCCCAGACAGCATTTATATGAGGTATCATATGGAATTGTTGCAACCAAGTGTCTACCGACATACGAGTCAAGTTAGGCACCCGTTATCTCTCTTTCATCTTCTCCATGTTTATTCCTCACATGTCATTGACATATCCTGTTCATCGATTTTTGTTAACCTCAAGGAAAGTATCCGTTAAAGTTTATGTTTAATTTATAACACGTATATAGCATGTATGCTAGTACCCAAAATATATATAGTATAGCACGTGTGCTTTACCAAAATAGCATACGTATGCTATTTTGGTAAAGAACCAAATCTCACACTAAGCCAAAACTTTCAACGTCACCCCAGATTAAAATACAACAAAAGGCTTAGTTTCATATTTTTTATGGTGTTGTCCTTTGTTGGGTGTTAGAATATATTGCAAATTTCTGCTCTTTAAAATTAAAAGTTGGACGCTATATTCACTGTAAAATTGGAAAACTTCTTCGGATTTCTTTCAGTTAATAATTATAGATACTAATGTAGAATGTTTTAAAAAAAAAGACAAATGGTATAAAATGAACATTTAGAAAGCACAGCAAATCAACGCCCTAGGGCAAGACATTTGCGAGCCACAATAGCATGGTACTGCAGACAATGTACTCAACGATTAGGTATTCGCAGTATGTACACATTCTGTAAGCGCTTCTGCTTTACGCACACCTTACTATGTCTCATATGTTTCTTCTGTGTGCAATATTTGCATTTATGTGCTCTACGTGTTTCCATATGTATTCTATGTGTCATGATATGCATTCTGGTGTGTGTTTTGATGTCTTTATGTTACGTAATTACGAGTATGTTTTTATGCTTTTACGTTTAATTTTGTATATCTATGTGTTTCAGCTTATAGGAGTGTTTTAATGCTGTCCTTTATATTCTTTTTAAGTTACTTTGTGTTATTAACAACGTCCTATGTAAAAACTACTTGACATCTAGCCCCTGTATGGCCATGTAAACTCCGGTGCAGCCTTACGGGGCTCCAGCGAGTTGCTTCTTCGAGATAGTGGAGGACGTTGGGACATATGCCTGTTTACCTATGTTATACGCCAGGCGTCCCCGTCCTCCGTCACCTGTCACCTGTCTTTCTCTCTTCCATTATTGCTGTTATTCTTATTAGATAACCTGCTCAGCATGCATTCTTTGTTAATGAGATGCTGCCTTGATTTAATAATATGCGACCTTCCAATGTAAAATGTTTCACACCCTTATGCTAAAAATAGGAGAAAAGCCAAGCCATGAAAGAAGTGCAAGAAAAACAACTGAACACTGCACTTTGCTTGTCTAGCTGATGTTTATTTGCCGAGTAAAGTAGCATAATCACGAAGGAATTTTTTTATGCGCTTTCTTTTGCTGTTTCATATAATAAATGTAAATAAAATATGCTTCGATGAGCTTCACCTGTAGACAGAAATTACTATCAGCCTCAAGAAAAGTTTCTTCATACCACCTTGAAACACACGGAGGCGAACTGCGAAACTGCTGCTGAATCACATCATCGTCTCTTGGTTCTTGTGCGCTAGAGTTTAAAAAAATAATAATTAAATAAATAACTTACAGGATATTAATTCATTAAACTTTTTTAGATGGCGAATATAACGATTATTCTATACCAAATGAATACTTAAAAATATCTGATATGCACACCACATGACTTTCTTGTAAGGCCTACTAAATTATACACATTTTTGCTGCATTTCATTTAAACCTATTTCATCGAATTTTATTAGAGATATATTTCTCATTCAATCAATTCAGTTCTCACTTCGCGGCACGGCAAAAATACATAAAAACTCAAACAAAAATTATCGTTAACGCGTCAATTTAATTCAGTTTTTAGTATGGTAGGTATGCGTCAGAAAATGCTAAAACACTTTTGTTTGTACTTACCAGTAAACAAACTACTTTGTACAAAATCATACGAAGCAAAAATCTATACCATTAAAATCTATGTAGAATTCTATCTTCATTCGAAATTGTAAAATACAGAAAAACATAAAACACCAAGTATAGTTAAAAACTCTTTTTTTTTTTTTTTTTTTTTTTTTTTCCAATTCAAAGTAAAGTTTCTACAAGAAGTTTGGCCAACGGACTCGCAGACGAAATTTTCCGTGCACAAAATGGTTGCCTAGTTGGACCTAGCGCCACATTAAACTGGTGATAATTATGTAATTATTGTATACAAAGTAACTAAAGGCGTAACAACCTTAACCAGAACATAACAACAACATAATTCAATCACTTTTAAAGCAAAAACTGCACAGCTTACTAACATATGAGAACAATAACAAAACAAAAACAAAAAAAACCACTCACTGAGCCGCCTAAGAGGTGGTACACAACCACCCTCTTAGGCGTTATATATATATTTCCCTCTTAAACGTATATATATAAATATATATTATATATATATATATATATATATATATATATATATACAGTTGACGCGGCAAAAAAAGGGAGGTGCACAACTAGATGTTATAGCAATCCCATATACAAAATTGCAACGTTCTACGGCTAATAGTTATGCGAGATGCATACATATCTAAATACAGACGTCATGAAAAAAAAATCCCTTCTGAATTCATTTTACAATCAGTTTTGAAAAAAAGAGTCTTTTTTTCTGTCCGTGCGCACAAATTACACGCTCGAATCTGAATTTTCGAATCTGAATAGATTCGAGAACCCTCAAAATGTATATTTTCGTTGAAATATGATACCTGAAAATTTTCGCGATTACAGTACTACCTTTACTTTGTACTAGGAAGTAAAAAGGGGGAAGTAAGTAAGTAGTGCCGTAGATTTTGTTCCATACATATCATTTTTTTTACTTTTAATGTTATCATCTGCTTTATTTAAATAAGTATTTAATTTGTGCTTAAAAATAAACATAAAATATAATGAGATACTGATGTTTCAATTTTTAATATACCCTTATATAAAATTAGCTTATACACTCATGTCCATAAATTAAGGATAATGCAAAATCATGCAAAGGAAGAGTTAGAAGCAAAACAAATTTGACTTATTTATAAAGCTTATATATTAAACAAAAGGTAAAGAGCAAAAAAAGATGCTATATGTTTGATATTATTAAAAAAAATTAATGATTTTTTCTCCGTGGAGCAAATTACAAAAAAAAAAAAAAAAAAAAAAAAAAACCTATTTACAAAAAACCAATGTAACATGGTTGGTATGATTGTTAATACATTGTATGTCTCCCAGACGATGCAATACAGTCCGTACAACGCCTAGGCATGCTGAGTATCAAATTATCGATCAGATCTTGGGGGATATTACACCACTCAAAAAGCAATGCTCTCCGAAGTTCCGGTAGACATGTAGGAGGAGGTTGACGGGCTGCAACTCGTCGGCCAAGCATGTCCCACACGTGCTCTACTGGATTCAAGTCCGGTGAGAATGCTGGCCAGTCCATACGGGTGATATCCTCCGATTGAAGGCATTCGCTTACGATGTTTGCACGGTGAGGACGGGCGTTGTCATGCATAAACACAAATTGTGCGCCCATGGCACCTTGAAACAAACGTGCATGTTATTCCAGAATGACGTCCCGATAGATTTGGCTTGTCATGGTTCCAATCTGAACATGCAGGTCAGTTCTGGAACCCATAATAATTCCACTCCAAACGAGCACTCTTGCACCACCGTAACGGTGTCGTTCATTCATGTTTTCTTGGTAGTAACGGGTACCTGGAGCTCTCCATATGAAAGTCCGGCGAGAATCAGACTGCAAGCTAAAACTGGACTTGTCGGAAAGCATCACACACGACCATTGTTGCGGTGTCCACAATACATGCTCTCTACTCCAGGCTAACCGCAGGCGACAGTGAGTTGCAGTGAGTGGAACGCATCTGACAGGTCTACGAGCATATAGACCAATCTGCCCTAAGCGTCTGTCCGATAACTTCAAGAATAATCAAGTTATCCGGAATCTACAAATTATTCTAAAGAATGCTGTCACTGAAATGGCAAAAGTAAGAGAAACGCGATAAAATAAACCTCATAATCAGGCAAAATTTGGTCGAGTGGATAAGACCACTGAACATCGGTAGTTCGATTTGAATCGGTATGCCTTTTTACATGCCTTTTTTCATGCGTAGCGTGAATGCGAGCTAGTTTGTCTTAAAAAATCTTCTGCAAAGACATCCCTTTCTTAGTTGATAATCTTAGGATGCTTTATTTTTCTTAAATCAACTCACGAACTAGGCAAAAGTGAATGATTCTGTGTTGTTATGCTAACGAAAGAAGAGAGCGGGTATGGCTTTGTAAAATTTCGAAGACAAAAATGGAATATAAGAAACACATATCGAACTCATTTCCTAGATACGCTTCTCTAAAGCAAGTATCTGGTAATGTATAAAAAATATTTCATGAAGTTATGTGATCAAAAGAAACCTCTTCTTCTTTCTCTCTCCTTTCTAACACAAGAGCTATTTGCTGAGAAGGCAATCGCCACCAGTTAAAAGTTACGAAGAGCATTTTTAAGACATTTTTTAAAGTATTACTTGCGGCTAAACCCGCCAGATGAGCGGGCTGCAACCAAAGCAAAATTTGTAAGTTCTATGTACCCCTGAAAAGCAAATGTATGAAAACATTTCAATATGAAAGAAATGAGTTCATTTTCCTAGTAACAACTAATTCGTAAATACTTTTTTTATTTCCAAACCAGGAAACAAAAACTTTTGGCACTTCAGTTTAATACGTATGACGTCATGATTTAAATTTAATGCAGTGTAAAAACTTTTTGTCAATATTCAGTAAAGGAATTAACGTGACAATAATATATCGTGTCACTTACACTAAACTGAAAGAAACAAGTTGGAACAGCAGCTATTTATTTAAAATGCTGACATTAACGAACAATTTTCGACATACAGTGATGACGTCACATGTAATTGTGTGCTTTCTTCAACTTCAGCATATGACCTTATGTAATAATAATATGTTTAATGTTTGGCAATGTTTTTTTTAATTCATATTTTGAAAAACTTATAAATTTTTGTTTAAGTGAGCAGTAGCAACACTTTTCGAAATGAAGCAATTTTATCTCCAAAGCGCGAGACTGTATCCACTCGAAAAAATGAATGCGAAAATTGGTGCTTTCAGAGTTTTTAGTTCATGTCTCTACTGATTAAAGTCATATGAAGATGAGAATGATCGAAATGGCTTCCCAGGAATCTTCGGAATCCAGGGAGGGGGGTACCTTTCTGGGAAAGCAATTCTCCGCCGTTCCGGAGGAGACAATGCCGCAAACAGATGTGCGCAGATTTTAATAGTATAGATTTTAGCTGAATATGAACTTGTACAAACTAGTTCACTGGTAAGTACAAACAAAAGTTTTAGCATTTTCTGACGCATACCTTTAGTATTAATAATTGAATTAAAGCGCAATACATTGACAATTTAAGAATAATTTTTATTAGGTTGTAAGGTATATTGATGTGCCAGATTTCTAATACACAATTACATCATTAGTGCAATTAATGATAGCCATTTATAACTCCATGAACTTTCCAGTTGTAGCTATTTTTCATTAGTCTTAGTAATGAGTTTGCTGTGCTTTAACTAATTTTATAATTATCGTTTCTATTTTTTTTTTTTTTTTTTTTTTTTTTTTTTTTAATATAGGCTCCTAATATGATCCCCCCCCACACCACTTGCTTCCGTAAAGCACTTTCCTTCCCAAATGTAAAAGGAAGGTGTTAATCTGTAATTTATATAAAATAGATAAGAGGTTCTCGTCTAGTATGTGCTGTTATATCTGGGAAGTACATCTGTTGGACATCCTGTCATTTTTGTCCCACTTTCGCATCTGTTGAGCTGGAAAGCTGCGTTTTCATAGCCTCCGGTGGAGCTATGAAAGGACGAAGATATCGGCAGAATACCACACCGAAAATAATAGTCTATTTTCATCCGAAGTTTGTGTAATTGCCACGAATGTGGGTTTCTGAACTAGAAATGGGGAAGAAACTAATTATGGGGTTTCCGGACAAAGATTTTAATTACTTACAAATACAGCGATCTTTTGTTTTACGGTGCAAATGCGTTCCGAACGGTGATGTGGTAAATCGAATCAGTGTGAAACGAATTCATTTACATCGCATCCACAAATGTCAGTACCCGCCTTCTACTTTCGCAACCGTTGGTCATAGACATGTATTTTCAGTACAGAAATGTTTTAAATGACGCAAATGTTTAAGGTTTGACACTTTCAAATGTAAAGGAATTTTTTGTAAAATTCTGTAACAAAATTTTTATAATTTTTTTTTATTATGTATTTTGTAAAGGCAGAAGAGAAACACGCCAAGGGAAACATAAAATTAATCACACAAATCGATTTCGAGGGCAAACAGGTACAAATCCCTCATCATCAGGAACAAAGATAGTCTTGCAGTTGTCTTAGCTCCTGATGATGAGGGACCTTTATCTGTTTTCCCTCGAAATCGATTGAAATCTTGACTTAACGCAAGGTTGTTTTGTTAATAATTTTATTGTATC